CAAATTAATTCACTTTTATTTTGGTTTTGATTTTTTTTTTTTATTTTGGGATACTGGATGCTACTTTATGTTGGTTTTGTAAATATAAACTGAAAGTTTTCTAGGCAGACTTTTGCCATCTTAGATCACATGGAGCATATTTGATTTTGGTTCTAAATGACCTATGTAATGATAGGTGCATAATAAGTATGGATGAATATTTAATAGTCACAACATTAACTTTAATTTTCGGGAGTTGGATTTTCTATTCCTAACAGCACAGAACCTGATTCTTGCTAGGGTAAGTCACTGACCTTGCAATATGAGGAAGTTGTTGAATTATGGGACTTTTCCAGCAATTTTGTTTTCATTGAAGATAATCTGGGGAAGAATAGAGCCTTGCTTCTGTCCAAAAATTGCAAGAGTTGAACAACTTTGTTTTGATTTCTACTGGAACAATTGAATTGACTAATAAATAATTGTATGTTTGTCAGGTGATATTTCTTTTGTTTTTGGATAGAAAATCATTTTCTATTTTATTTATTTCTAATTTTTTATTTCAAAATACCTTTAATCTTCTATAAACGAGTACTTAGAACTACTTTATTATCCATAACATATATTTGTTTTATATTGTTAATTGAAAATTCTTCATTTTTCTCTAGTTAAGGTATTATCATCATCGATAATAGAGACCCTGTCCATAAAAGTAACCCTTTTCAATTAGATTCTTTTGTCCATTAAAATCTGTTTATTTTTTTCCTTTTGTGTTTGTTTCATTGATGTCCTCTCCTTATTTTGTACTTTGAGATGAAAACTCAAAAATTATAGACTTTGAAATTAATGCATTTTAAGTATTTCCTATCATAGATTCTCACAAAATAGGAATCTTTATATGAAAAAGTTCGTTGTATGATAGTTCGTTATATAATAGTGGAAATAGTGAGATATGTTATAAGAAATCAATTGTTTTCTTATACATAGCTTTGTGTTTCTTTTTGCAATCAGTTTTGCCGCTTCTTCTTCTACTTTATTATTACAAGTTTTTTCTATTTGCATAGCTTTTGGATCTTTTCTATTTGCATAGCTTTTGGATCTGATATGGAATCTATGGTTAGACTATGGTAGAGGAGTGGTTTGATTTTTGTGGAGTTACTATGGTTTTTGAACTCATCGTAAGGTGTGCGACCTCTACTGTTTATATTACCTTAATTTGGCAATTTGACATTTTTTAAGAAACTAAATTTATAAAGCAACAATTTCAACTACTAAATTCTAGAACAAATTAGTCACAAAAGAAAACTAGAAGAATTCAAAATAAACAAGTGGAAGAATTACTACTAATATAAAGTTGTTCAAAGTTCATTGTTATTTAGTAATGTAATAACAAGTTAAAAAGAAAGAATCCCGACGAATTTGATTTCTTAATTAACGAAACCTTTAAGTTCCTTACATACATATATAAAAACAATCTATCAAGAACTATCAATAATACACTTAATCAAATTAATACACTTGGAATTTTTTCACAGCTATATGAGGAATACTCAGAAAATATTTTTCTCAGAAACTAGAAATGATATAAATCTGAATATTTCGGCTTTGAAGTTAGAGCAGCTAAATAGCCAAACCTCATTCTCTCATCAATTATTTGTATTCTTTTATGTTTGGTCCAACATATTCCATTGGCTTGGTTTTATAATTAGATTTCAAGACGTTTTGAATTTGTCAAATTTAATGTTTGCACTTGCTTGAGTTTAGGAATAACATTTATTAGAGCTAGTTCTATATCAACTTCTTGTGCTCCAAGAGACAATTGTATCGAACTTGACAAGATATATAAAAGTTTTAGAATTGCCAACTCACCTTGTATCTCTCTAATACTCGAGAAAGGAAGTCCTCTAATTGTAAGAAGGTAAATAACCATTCAATAGTAATAGGAGTAAAAAAAACAAGAGAGTTATTTGTTGTTATTTTTTTCTTATTCTATGTCTTATACAAACTTTACCAAACCGGAGCGGAATATAAAAATTAGCCACTATTTAGGAAGAAAATTGCTTTTGTTGGCTTCATTTTTCTTTTACAGAGTTAAGGATATTGTACAGCACCATTAGCTTACTATTGGTAGCTTTATACTCTATGGAGTTTTATTTTCAATTCAGAAATGCATGCCAATTTTTAGTGAAAATAATTTTTTTTTTTATTAGCTTACTATTGGTAGCTTTATACTCTATGGAGTTTTATTTTCAATTCAGAAATGCATGCAATTTTTTTAGTGAAAATAATTTTTTTTTTTATTCTGTTTATGCTTGTATTGTTTAAATATAATTAGAACTATATCATATATATTGACTGAGAAGAGCTTATTCCCGAGTGCCTTCTTCCTTAAAATATTCAATAGAAATATTGCAGAAGAACAAAATTCTGAGAGTTATTCGCAAAAACTTAGTGAAGAGTGTGTATTGAGCTTTCTTCGAGATTGTTGAGAACAAGGAAGATTATAACAAATTCTATATAGCATTTTCTAAGAATCTCCAGCTGGATATCTATGAGAACTCTACAAATAAGATAAAACTTGCTGAACTGCTTTGATCCCACTGCACTGAAAGTGGTGATAGTTAACGAGGCTTATGGACTATGTCATTTGAATGAAGGCATGTCAGAGTGATATCTATTACATTACTTGTGAGAGCAAGGTTGTTGAGAATTGCTCATTCCTACATGGTATGAATGATTACAATATTTATTTATATCTACATGTTAACGTATTTCTGAAAAATTTTGTAAAATTTTTTTAATAATAATTATTATAATATTTGAAATTCAATCGCATTTAATTTTGAAAATTTGATATGTAAGTATATCTTGAAAAATGACGAGTTCAAATCATACATGAAACATAACGTAATTTTTTTTATTATCATTATTCCAATGAACTCCCATATTGGAGTTCTTATGAATCCTAATATAGTGGACATGAGTAAATATATTTGAAATGATGTTACATTCAAGCTATGGATTTGATGAAAATATCATACTATTGCTGATTAATTGCGTCACAAACTTCCTAACTTTTAAAGAGATACATGAGTTGTATAGTATTATATGGTGTCTTTTAATTTCTAAGTTAATAAAAAATGCAAGGTAGGTGCACTTATAAATTTAAAGACTTGAAAATTTGAATAGGCTTAGGTCAAAGTTCATTTTATTTAAAAAACTTCAAGCTTAACTTAAGTTCATTCTATCTAAAAAACTTCTAATTATTTTTATTTCTTATTTAGTATAAAGTTACAAATTAAAAGTTTTTGAAAACAAAGTATAATGTATATCAGATAAAATAATCCATGCAATGTGCAGGCTTTCACCTAGTTTTTACATAAATTACAATGTAAATGTCAAATCGGTTTAGATACTGTCTAACCACTATTATGAAACTCTTAATTGTTGTTTGTATTACTTGTAATAAAGCCGGCCAATACTACGCTTTGAAATCAGTCCGTAGATACAGGGAAATTAATAAGCATAAAGACAAATTTTAAAACAAATAATTCCTCCTCACACGTTGTAGATATCGCCAATGTGAGAATTAATATTTTTGTTGGTCCATTTGATTATATATTTTAATGAGTGATAGTTATTAATTAAATATAATACCTTTTTATATTTCATTAAAGAACAAAATTAAAACCATTATTTTATCTATTCATGCTACCCACCACAACCACATCTTTTTTTTTTCTTCCCTTCTCTCTCTTTAGGGTTTGAATTTAATTAGAAAAAAGAAAAGGAAAATTTAGTAATTGGTAAAGCACAACTTTATATTTATTCCATATATTAGTTTATTAAGTTATTGGAACGCCTAGGGACATAAAATAGAATTCAATCTTTATTTGAAGTGGAAAGATTGTAAATGTCCAAAAAGATTATTTTAGTTGCAGCTCATAAAAAAAATAAATGAAGAAGACAAAAGTGGTTGATTTTTTATATATTATGGTTGGCATGAGAAACTAATTAATGCTTTTTTTAAATATAATTTATTAATAATAATAATATTAAATATTACAAATAATCATAGATATGCATAAGATATCAAATAGATTTGGCTAAACTTTATTGTGGTTTGCTATATTTGTTAATTACAAATCAAAATTCTAATTTGGATTTTGGTATATTTGTTAATTACAAATAAAGATGTTAATTTCTTTTAATACATAGGAGGTACAATGAACTGGGAGAACATATAAGCTGCACAGTAAAAGATAGACTTTCATTTGAATAACATTGATCAAATTAACCATACCTTTTATGGTAGGAAGAATTCGAACTCGAGGACTACTATTCACATGTTTTAAGAGAATTTGATCGATATTGTAACAATAATAAAAAAAATAAAATAGTGATTGAGACTCTAGGCACATTTAGTGGTGGTAAATTCACTTATCTAATAATAATGAAAATTTCTTATGGGCTCTTTGAATGGAGATTCACCAAGCATCAATTTGCAAGACTGCAAATGGCTATCCATCCATTGCCAATAAAAGGGAGCACCAAAGTCTTATCATTGATATTCAATTTTGGTTTATCAATTAATTGCTATGAACCACTATTAGTAATTCAAAAAAAAAATCTTACCATAATCATAATTAGATTCTCAATAATTGTGAAGTCAAAAAAAAAAAAAAAAAAAAAAAAAAAAGAATTGCCAATAATTGTGAAAGTCAAAAAAAAAAAAAAAAAAAAAAAAAAAGGAAAAGTGAAAACCACTTAATTCTAGAAACATTCTCCCCCAAAGTCCAGAAAACACCAATACAAATATTCTTCCCCTCCACCCTACACAAAAACCCTGTCCTTATAGCATCTGAGGACCACTTCTCCAAAGCTCTCTTCCTCTCTTCTCTCTCTCATCCACACCTATCTTTAAAAAAAAAAAAAAAAAAAAAAAAAAAAAAAAGGAAAAGTGAAAAACCACTAATTCTAGAAACATTCTCTCCCCAAAGTCCAAAAACACAATACAAATATTCTTCCCCTCCCCCACACCAACCCTGTCCTTATAGCCATGAGACCACTTCTCCAATAGCTCTCTCTCTCTCTCTCTCTCTCTCTCTACTCCACACCATCTTTATAGCTATCTCCAAAATTTTCTCTCCTTGATCCCAAACTCAAGAAGTGAAAGGAAAAAAAATGAAAATGTTGGGCAAAAAGATGAATTCTTTCAAGAAACTTGCAAAGAAGGTGAAGGTTATTGGTAAAGGTGGGTGTGAAGAATCACAACAAAAATGTTTCTCCAAGGTTATTTGTAAAGGTGGGTGTGAAGAATCACAACAAAAATGTTTGCTTGGTGAATTTGAAGATGCTTCTTCTTTGACCAGAAGAACAACACCAACTGGGTTTTTTGCTGTATATGTTGGAGAAGAGATGGAAAGATTCGTTGTTCCAACAGGTTTTCTTAGCCATCCACTCTTCAAGATGCTATTAGAGAAGTCACAAAATGAGTTTGGCTTTGGGCAAACAGATAAGCTTGTGGTTCCATGTAGTGTGTCCACTTTTCAAGAAGTTGTAAATGCCGTTGAGTGTTGTAATGGGAGGTTTGATTTTGGAAATTTGGTTGAGGAGTTTATATAGATTAACAATATTGGGTTGATGGGTTTAATTGGGTTTACAAATTCATAAGCTAGAATATGTAAAATTCATATGTACTCATTTCTATCTTCCTGTATGGCTAGGCTAATTTTTGGTACTTAATATCATTGACAAAATATGAGTTTCTTGGCAGAGTAAATTGAGTCTGGATAGTTTAATTTATTTTTTTAATCCTTTTTTCTTTTTGGGTGTAGTCTGAAGAGTCAAGAGTATATCTTGGCCCTTGGATTTGGATATTGACCCAAATGGAGAACTTAGAGAAAGGAGATTACAAAAAGAAAAACTCAAGTTATGTCGTCTTGATTTTCTGTTAATTTCTTAAAAGACCCTTTAATTATAATAAACTCACAGTTTCAAAGATAATTTTAATATTAATCGATGAAGTGTTAGCTGGAGATCTCAACCTTCGTAAGAATGAGAATAAAAATTTAATATTCGAGAAGCACACTTTATTGGTAGGGTAAACTGAGGGAGATTACATCTTCTACCAAGAAAAAGAAAAAGACAACTTCAATAGTATGAAGCCATTATCTCATTTCTCTCTTTCCTTGTTTTTAAGTTTTGTTGGAAGATTGAAATGGCTAATCCAGCAATTCTTGTTAAGAGCTCTTGTTCGAGTTGAGGCAACAAACTCCATAATTTCTACCGCTGTTACCCGTTGGTGGTTGAATAAAGAAAATTACAATGATTTATCGTTTTGGTTGGTGGTTGAAACTTAAAATTAGGAATCACTTTTTAAACCATGTGGTTATAGTTTCATCGAGGAAATGTTTTCTTATTATTTAAAGAGTTCAAAACCCTACCAAAATAATGGCAGATCCATAATTTTTTTTTTTGTCAACACATAGAAAAAATTAAATAAGTTAAATATACTAGGATCAATATATAAATAATTTTTTGTTTGAAAAAATAGGGGTCAATTTACTCCTAATTTTCTATATTAGATCCACCATTACCCGATAAGGAAGTTAACAATTTTTAGTTTTTGGTTGTTTCGTTTTTTTAAATTATTCTTTTGACTGTCATTTCACGCATATATACACATATTAATTGAAATTCCGTTCTTCATATGCGGTTATAAATACATTGTTTGAATAATATTATTTATTTTGATTAATAACATTAATTATTAATATGTATTTTTATTATTCAAAACTTAACTACAATAAAATATCTTTCTCTTTTTTAATTAATAGACTTTATAAAAGAAAAAAAAAAAAATAAAAGGGATGATATTTCAAAAATAAATTAAAAAAAAGAATATCATTACTCACTATATTAAAAATATATTTAAAGTAACTAAAAATAAACTTTACAATATTTAATTTTATGTTTAACATGCAACTGTATTCAACTTTTTTTACTCCAATTGATTCAAGATTTTCTGTTTACTAAAAAAAATAAAAGTTTCAAAATAATATAAATATTAATATATAAATAGTCGTGATTCCACTATTCATGCATAAATATTAGTTGAATTAGAGAAGAATTTGTATTATATTTAAATTAATATTTTTGTGGTAAATGTTTATCTGAAAGGTTTAATTATTTATATATTTTAAAAAATTAACTTTTAGAAAAATACACATCTAATCAATTTGTAGAAAAATTAAATAAAAAATTTAAAAATTTCTAAAATAAAAGATAATGCAATACTGAAAGCAAGAAAAATTAAGTTTCATCTCTCCTTCGTGATTAGTGATCTTGCTTCAATCTTTTTAAATATTTCAATCTTCAATCAATTTCAAATAATTAACGAAATTTATATATGTGACTAATATTTTGAACCAAAATGCCCCTTTCTTTCTTCTTTTCTTAATTATATCTCTATCATTCTCCTGTATGATATAAACATTCGATTTTAAAAATTTAATTTACTGATGACCATATGGTTCTCCGAGCACTTAATTTAAATTCAATATAATGAATCATTATAAAAAACATACACTAAAAAAGAATTTAAATCCAAAAACATATAATGCACATATTTACATAAATCATACAAATATTCATTGTATATACAAATAGATACACATATTGACCGACGTAATCAAGCAAAAAAATAAAATAATTGATGCACGCATATTTTCTAACATCGTGCTAATAAGTGTATTCGCTTACATACTTTCTAATTACCCAAATATCTTAATTAGAGTTTTTAGATGCACACATAAAAAATCATGACAAAAAGAACTACACAAAAAACGAATAAGAGAAAGAGAAAGACTGTAAATAACTGCAACTAAAGAATAAGAAGAAATCAAAAAATGAAAGAGCAGCTCAAAAATAAAACAGCAGATCAAAAACTGTGGCTTATAACGTCCTTTAGGATCCTATATTCATGTCATCAACTGAATTAATATTCAATAGTAAGCTCAAGCTGTTGTAAGTGTTAGCAAAGCCATCTTTGGAAATAAGAGAAATAGCAAACGAGAGATTTTTCTTTTCTCCTTTTCTCTTTCAATCTAGTGACTTTGGAGATTAACATTATATAGAAAAAACTATAAACTTGGATTTGGCAGAGGCAGACCAAATATTCAAATAAAAAAATAAAATAAATTTCTATTCAAAAATACATTTTAATTAATGATTGACTCATAAAATTATAAGAAATGAAAAAAAAAATCTGGAGCATTTTAACATGTAAAATTATTATTAATTGGTTATAATTCTAATTATTATTAGTATTATCATACCATTAATTAATTTTGAAGAAACGGAAAGATAGAAACTCTTACAAGAGAATCTGAATAGAATCTTTTTTTTTTTTTTTTTTTTTTTTTTTTGAAGAAACGGAAAGATAGAACTCCTTACAGAGAATCTGAATAAATCTTTATTTCTTTTTTTTTTTTTTTTTTTGCTGTGTTTTTTTTTTTTTTTTTTTTTTTTTTGTGTGATTGTCATTATCAACTTTCTGCTTTTAACAATTATCTTAATTTGTAATTAGGTGGAAGCCGGGCATTTGACGAGTTACTTCATTACTTTATTATTATTATATATTGAATTAAAAAAATTTTTTTTTACCATATATATATATAAAACTAAATGTTTATAAAAAAATAAGTCGTGGATAATAAAAAGAAGCAAATAGAAGATATATATATAAACCAAAATAACGTAAATGCATATAATACAAAAGTCCTGCAAAATAAGCATTAACTAAATTGTTTTGCAAAACTATAAATTTGAAAGATATACTTAAAAACTCTCTACCTCCAGAATTTTTGCAAATAAGCTAAGAGTAAAAGAATAATAAAGACAATAATAAAGATATATAGATATAAAAATAGATAATTAGTATAAATAAATGGACACAAAAAAAATTAAATAGTGCAATCTAGAAATTTAAAATATAAATGTAGATACTTATTTTAAATAAGTAACAATTTTTTAACTTAAAAAAAATACCTTAAGTGATCTAATAAAAAATAAAAAAATAAAAATTCAAACTTCAAAAATAAAAATATAGATAATTTTTGTAAATGAATATTAAGTTTTAAAATATAATCATTAGATATAATTTTCTAATATTTAAATAATAAAATTTAAATTTATATGATAAAAGTATCATTTTAATATAAATGATAAGAATCTCGATTCCTTTTTAATTTATTAAATATATATTTTTTTAATATTATCTTATAAACTCCCTTTCTTATTTTAAATATATTTGCTGAATTTAATGTTTCTTTTCTTTTCTTTTTTTCCTTTTAAATAATTTTTACTTTGCTATATAACTTTAATAGTAAAGATATTTCTCCTATCCTAGCAAGCAAAAAACATAAAAGAAATGACAATATAATAATAATAATAATAATAATAATAATAATGAATAAATAAATAAATACCAACATTTAGTTGATAAGTATAAAAACTACACAAACAAATTGAAAAAAACTAGGGCTAAACATACTCAACATTGTACATTTGATTGTATAAAGATAAAAAATAAAAAAGTATTTTCCTAAAAAAATTCATTAAGTTATTGAAATAATGAGATTTAATTAATGTCAGTCTCATTTATCTCTTCCTTTTTCCACACCAATCTTTGCCTCTATGTTGTTTCGTCCATATTATATAATTGAAGTTGTTATTTTCATCCTTTTGCTATGTGAAAAACAACAATAACATATATATCAAAATAAAAAAAATAATAATAAAAACCAGAAAATCGAAAGAAACAACAAAAAAAAAAAGAAGAAAATCATTATGAAAAAAATCATTCAAACTGATTAAATAGAGATATATATAGATATATAGATATAAATAAAAAAAAATTGAAAATTTTTAAAGTTTTAAATTTATTCAAAAGTTTTAAAGGTTTAATTATTCAAGAACATAGATATATATAGATATAAAAAAATATTTAAAAAATATTAAAAATTTATAAAATTTATAAAAAAATAGAAAAAAAAATTCAAACATCAGAGTACCAAGTCAATATTTTTTTTTTCCTGGATAGATATGGAATTGTTCCTCACTTAACATAAGGCTTGAATTTCTATTCCTTTTTTTATATGTTAAAAATATTAAGATTTCTAATTAAATTTAAATATTAGCCTTTAGTTGTCATAATAATAAATTAGTAAAGAAATTTTTATTTCTCTTAATTGAGTTAAAATATTTATCCTTTTTTTTCTGTATTTGGCTTCCAAAATGATTTTTTTTTTCCTTAATATTAGGGTTTCAAATTGAATTCAAATATTTTTTGATTCATTAATGGTGAAGATAACATAATAGGCTATACAATAAAGATTTGCTCTCTTCTTAACTCACTAAATTGGTGAAAGCTCTCTCCTTAACTCACTAAATTGGTGAAAATTCTTGCAGTCGAGAGGGAAGTTCAACTCCTCACATTATAACAATCTTAGAATTCCAAATTGAATTCAAATATTTATAGCTTAGTTAAAATTATTATTCTTCTTTTTATTTTATAGAAATATAGGATTAATAAAATACGTTTTTTGAGGATCAAACTCGTGTTCTTACTCTCATAAGGATTGAAAGCGCTTACCATTCCAATCAATACCTTCTCAGTAAATAAAATAGTAATTTAAAGTAGATGTATGAGGAATTGATTTAAATGCATATTACAATTGAATTAATCTATATAAGCTCCACTTGTCTAAGCACATTAATTGAGTAAATTAGTAGGCCGATTAGCCCATGATCATGCTTATTGGCAACATACCCAACCACAAAAAAAAAAAAAAAAAAAAAAAAAAAACCAATCATTGGGTATCAAAATGGGCCTAAACAAAATGGATGGAGCGGCCAATACACAAATAATATATTACATCCATAATACAAAGTTCCATGAAAGGAAAATCTACTCTACTTCAAAAAAAAAAAAAAAAAAAAAAAAAAAAAAAGGGGGAAATTTTATATGACAAAATATCAGGACGTCACACCCTAATGAATGTCTCTCTTCCAGAACATTATAATTCACCAAAATGAAGAAGGAGAAATACATAAAACCATAAAAAGTTTAAGATATGATTTCATTTTATTACAATATAACATAATTTGTTAAAAACCCATCATTGGGTATCAAATGGGCCTAAACAAAATGATGGAGCGGCCCATACACAAATAATATATACATCCCATAATACAAAGTTCATGAAAGGAAATCTAGCTCTACTCATCCTCAACATTGACACAACTGTCCACAAGAATTCTTTTCATATCACCAATTAAATTCTGCATTTGCTCTCTTGAATGCAATGGAGATGGATACACACAAGCAGAATCCAATTGTCCATTGCGGATCGTGTCAAATACAGCAACAGACGGACCGACTCCATGGACAGAAGCACATCCTATAAAATCCTGTACTCCAAACTCCTTATACAGTTCATTATGATCATCAATCACAGGGTCCTCAAACACAGATATGCAGGCAGTTCTCAATGCTGATGATGGAGTTAAACCTGGATTATCAATTGCCTTGCCCATTAGGAAGTTCAAGTCACCCATGTCTGTGAAGTGTTTGTTGTTGTTCTTTGCATTTGCAAATGACATGTAACATCTCTTTGCTACCTCCCATAGCTTGTCATCTCCACTTATGTCATGTGTATTCATGATGGCAGAGTGGTAAAATCCTGATACAATCAGAATCCCCATTGTCAAACCAGAAGCTTTCTTTCCCCAATTTTTTTTGGATATGTTATGTTATGTATTAACATTTCTCAAGTTCAGTATGAGAAATGGAGATCCTTGATGGGATAGGGATGGTAGGAGCAAGGACAGGGAAAACCACCGTCCCCTCGCATCCCGCCTGTTGCAATTCCAATGGTATATAATGCAAGAACATGACTTACCAAGATGGTGGACGCTGAGGACAGGGTCGAGAAGTGAACGGCAGTCTACGAGGGTTACAACAGCATACTTCTGCCTTTGCTCATGAGGAAAGTTTTCAGAGGAATATGTTGCTATCAAACCAGCAGCTGCTAAGGCTGCACACAGTTTAATCCCTCTTGACTCGCAGCCCTTCAACAAATAAAAGTGATTAATCTCATCAATTGGACATGTCACAAATAATTAATATTAATAGTTATAAGATGACTACAATGATTTAAATTGTCCTCCTACACTCTAACGCATGTATCAAGAACTTTTCCTTCAAAAACTCCACTCTACCAGAAAGAATTTCAATTTGTTGATGTTGGGTGGTACGTGACAAGCAATGTTAGTGAATTTATGAAAAAGTAACTTAAGGTTTGATTTTAGTTTTCTTTTTAAAATAAATCAACCCAATTAGACCATAACCATATTTGTTTATATATTACATAAACAATATATATGAGTGTATAAATTTAGTTTGAACCAAGCGGTTTGATTCATCCACAGTATCGTCTGGTTTCAATTTGATTTTAATTTGAATCGAATCGGTGGCAATGCCAACCAAGTCATATACTGTGTAGTATAAACAATTGAATAACATATTCTCCTGCTATTGGAGGTCTCTACTACTACTTTCTATAAGGTTAGAGAATCAAATGTTACCTATTTATTATATCAATTAAACAAATGTAGTAATTAAACCTCACCATGGTAAAATTTCCCTTTTGTTACTTTTTTTTTTAAAAAAATAATGAATGTAGTATAAATATTTTAGGTTAAGATGGACCAATTTGTACCAAGAGCCATATATATATGCCAAAAATCATCCGCACAGTGATGAAATCAGGGTTTAAATTTAGGGGATAAAAATGTACTCTTTATTCAGACTCAATTTTTTACTTTTAACTTTTGTTTGTCAATTAAATAATTTTTAATTTTTTTTTTGAGGGAATTATTTTTAAGTTTATTTAACAAATGGAAAAATTTTTAATTTAAAATGAGAAAGTGAGACTTGAACATTGAATCTTAAAACAACAGATAATATACTTTAATCATTCAACCAATGCTCATTATTAAAAAATATTTGTAAGAAAATATAAATTAAATTAATTTTGAAGTGTTGAATGAATCACCTATAAAACTCATTGTTTTATGAAAAAAAAAATATATATATTGCAATGATTATCTAACACATAAACTTATTATGGTTAAAAGTCGAGCCATTAAATTAAATGAGACTCTTTTCTTTCAAATTCTAAATATTACTATTGAGGAATGAAAATTAATCGTTACACTTTAAAATTATGTATAAATAATGTTATATAACTAATTTTAATATTTGTATAAACAATTGTATATATATATATATTCATCTTGTGTTATTTTATTGACTTCAATAAATGGTATTACGTTATATTCAACTAAATAAACAAATAAGTAATTAATTAATTTTATATCATAGAATCATTATTTTACGAGTTTAGTCATATATAAAATTAAAGCATATTTTGTAATGAAAATTTTACACTATTTATTTATAATATTTGAATTATTTATTATTATTATGAATTAAAATAAATAAAAAATAAATTTTTGTTTAGTATGGATTTAAATTGGGTTAGTTATAAATTTGTTACCTCAATTTTCAAAAATTTTATATTTGAATGTCTCAACGGAAAATCTTAACAATCAAGTATCTTAACTCATTATAAATTTTTAATCAAGTGTTGCCTACTTATACGGCAAGCTGTAAATACAAATATAATAAATACATGGGCCCACCTTATCTATTAAAAGTGATGATTCAATTTTGACTACTGAAGAGCAAATTCTGTAGAGGAAGAGTGGGGGAGGGACAATAGGAGGTGGGATAAAAACCGGAGGAATAGATTGTGGAAAAGAGATAGGAGGAAGCCGTTGATGAGACTGTGGAGGGGTACATGCAGCTTGCTACGTGGCTTCACTTTTCAAAACTAAATTATTACATTTTAATAGACAAAGTGGGCTATTTATATTTCTAGCCTGCCATATCAACAGGTAACACCTCGTTGAAAAATTACGACGGACTTAAATACTTGATTGTAAAAATTTTTCGTTGAGATATCAGAATAGAAAATTTTTCGAGAGTTAAAAGGCACTAAATTTATAATTAATCCAATTTAAATTTAAAGCGACAGAAGTTAAAAAAATTGCAAAAAGCAAGGACCGAACCTCGAACTAAGCTCAATTCAAATGATAAAAACGTGAATTACGCTGCCAATAAGCTTACCAGGCCCCTTAGAATCTCTTTCAACCATTACTGATATGGGCAAAATCGGCATAAAGCAGTTTTTACTTTTTAGCTCTAGACGCCCATTAATTTTGGAATCATCCCTATATCCGTCGTTGTACGCGCACATGTACAATAATAAAATTATCCCGACCACCCCACTTCTTAGTTGTCATGTCATGCGAATGTAACATTGGGCCTAATTCAGGCTAACACTTCTTTTGTTTTTCTTTCGTCCACTTGGGTTTGTGTCTTTTTTCGAAATGTGTGGGCCTAATTGACAGTGACCAAAAGGCCGAAAAGCCTAGGCAGTTAATATTTTATTAGAGCATACATGTACAACTTGTTAGAGCATACATGTACATCTTGTTAATCCATTAATGTTTAATATTTTAAACTTTCTATAAGCATTAAGTATAACAAGTTTCAAAAAGAATAAAACTACAAAAAATATCTTTTCTACTATTTAAAAATGATAAATTTTTACTTAAAAAATTAATATCTTATGCTAAAATCATTTCAATCATTCTGATAAAACCATCTCCAAATAAATAGAAGATTTCAATTTTTATATTTATATTTTTTATTTTTTATTTTTGTAAAATTATTATGATGTACTCCTTTTATATTCTTATTAATTAATTGCAAAGTTTTTTTAAAAAATTTTCTACTTTCACCTTGTAAAAGCACGCAATAATTCTTTTTTTATTTTTTTTATTTTTTGGTTTGAATAATGCACATTTGGTCTTCTAAATTTGTTTCTATATTTTTTAAACACAAAATTAAAATTTAAATCAATTAAAACATAAATTTTCATTGAGAGACTAATTTGTTTCAATTCTATGGCTAGATATTTTGGCCATTTATTTTCACTTAATAAGTAAAAATATTTATTGCAGCGAAAAAAAAAAAAACTCATTTGATATATTTATTTAAAAGTACCATTTTAAAAGTATAATTTTGAATAAATTACAACTTCATACATAAATTTGATTCTAAACTTTGGTTAATTCTCTTTGTGACCCTTTGAATTTTGTAGGTTCAACAATAGTCATACACTTTCATATTTCAGTAATTATGTAACTTGTCAAAATGAAACAACTTTATAGGGATCCAATCATAACCCTGCACATAAAATTTTGATGAAGAACATAATTATTACTAAAATGTGAAAGTACATAATAATGATTGAACCCTACAAAATTCAAAGGTCTATAAGGAGAAATCGGAAAAATTCACGATTAAATTTATGCATTACACCAATAAACTACATATCAAATTTTAAAAGCGAATGTCAATTAAGTAACGGTCTTCTAACTTGTGTGAGGAGTGAAAGGTCTCGAATTAAATTTTCAGGAGGGTTACCCCTCCTGTGTAAATCGCATGAAAATTTCAACCCATAAAAGCTTTCAAAAATTAAAAAAAAAAAAAATTAAAAGCCAATCGAGCTTTTTTTTTTTTTTGAAAGGAATATAAGAATAATTCCTTTTTGTCACCTAGAGGCAGCAATATAAAACCAAATTATGAGTCCTTTTCTTATGTATGAATGGATAACATTAGTTATTTTTATCATCTCGTCTCCAATACACAAACAATATTTGGTGGCTGAGCGGCAGATTAAGCTCCAGACTCATTGCCTAACCAATAAATCCTTTCTAACAATTGATCTGAATATTAATTATTAAGGTGCAAACTAACCAATATAACAGAAACAAAATTCATAGACGAGAATTTTTTTTTTTTTTTTTTAAATGGAGAATTTTATCATTTCAACTAAAGGATGTCTCATGTCACCGATTAAACTAAAATCAGACTCAGCTCAAAATTTCATATTGAATCCTAAAAACCAAAACAAAATAAGCCATAAAAAGCCAGATAAAGATTCAACTTACCTGAAGAAGCTTCTGCGTTTCATCTGAGTTCATTTGCAGCCTCACCACCTGAGAAATTCTCGGCGACTCACAGTCCACAAAGCTCAAATTCGCCAATCTGAAAGAGTTCAATGAATACCCAACCACATCCATTCCTCTAAGCCAAAATGGCTTATTAGCTTTTCCATTAGGAATTAAATCCTCAATTTTCGACCCAATTTCATTATTCTCATTTAATTCCTGATTATTATTGTTATTACAATCACTTGCTAGCTTCACCAGTTCTCTTAGCAAATAAACCGCCGACGCACGGTCACAGGCCGCCGTGTGTAGCCGCAGTACCAGCACCCACTCTGATTCGCTTAGAGTGTAAACGCTAGCGAATAACAGTTCAAGGTCAGTTTCAGGATTTGACGTCGACCAGGAGTTTTTGTTTATTTCGTGTTCTAGAAGGATATGGTAAGGAGTCACGGTAAGGGTATTATCGGAATTATTGGAAATAATGGTGGCAGTTGATGAAAGATCGAAGAATTGGATTTGGATATGAGATGAAGGAGGAGTCACGAAGGAGAAAGTGGCGGTGGAGGTGTCAAAGTGGAGCTTAGAGCGGAGGATAGGGTGGGAAATTTGGAGATGATGGAAGGCATTTTGGAGAAGATGTAAATTCGGGGTTTCTGATAAAAGAAGGGCTACGACCGCGATACCGGTTCCGCCAGGCACGGCTTTGCACCAGCTGTATTCGGTGCCGCCAACCAGTCGAGCCCTAGGCTCAGTGGTTAGTGAATCTTGGCCATTGTTGGACATGGTGAAGCCTGAAGGAGAAGAAGAAGACTGAGTGATGGAGAAGAAGAGTAAGTTTTTTAATTTTTTGTTTCTAATGGTGAATTTAACTGAGGTTGTAGAAAATAGTTGAGTAAGTAATTTGGTTCTTAACTTTCCATGTACGTCCAAAGAAAATTATTTGAACAAAAAGCTGACTCCATTCTAAGTACTTATGGAAGTATTCTACTACTCGTGGCTTAAATTCATTATATCCAAGGTAGTGATGAATAATAGTAAAAAATAAATAGTATAAACTAATAGATATACATAAATAGTTAAAAATAAATTCAGTTAAAAAAATAGTAAAAAATAAATCAAATAAAGAATAGATTGCAATGAACAAATAAATGTATAAACTAATAGATATATAGAGTCAACAAATAGGATCAACTAAATTTTTTTTTTTAAAAGGAACGAAATTGGTTTGAATGGAAATGACTCGAGTTTTTAAGTAAGAGGTTAAATATTAAAAATTTTAAAATTGTCGATTTCAATTTCAAAATTATCGGTTTGGATTATAAAAAATGTGAGACCAAAATCAAACTGTTTTTAGATGGTCTCTAAGACGGTTTTAAAACCATCGATTTTCGGTTTTGTTTCAATTTTCGACCAAAATTAGATAATTTATTTGAAACTCATTAAAATTCTTTTTAAATTTGTAACTTAAATAAATAATAATAATAAATATTGCTATTGAAAAAAAATCAATTTAATAAAAATTCTTAAAATTTATTTTAAAATATTATAATAAAACAAAAACAAATTGTTTAAGAATATATTTTTCACAATTTCAAATCGGAACCTTTTAAAGCAAAACCGTTAATTTAAATTTTTAAAAAATAAAGAATCAAAACTGAACTTTAAGTATATAGTTTCGATTACAATTAACAACCAAGAACCTTTTACCATAGTTTAATATTGGTTTTGATCGATTTAGTTTTTATTTAATTCTGATTCCAAATCGAAACATCGCAATGCATGCTAATGCTGCGTGATAAGGATTTGGTTTATCCAATAGGCTAGCGACAACTATGATATAAATTAAAAATAAAAAGCAAAAATTACCTTGACAATTTGGCGTATTTACTTTTTACTATTTTATTAAATTTGCTTTTACGGTGATAAACTATTCAGAGTTATTAAAAATTAAAGGGGAAAAAGTTTTATAGTCCCTGAAGTTTAGCCTAATTAACTACTTAGTCCTTCTATTTTAAAAAAATTAATTTAATGTCTCTATGTTTTACACTGCCAAACTGAATAGTCCTTCCCTAAAAAAAATGACTTTTCACTGTTAATTCAAAGAGAAAAGACAAATATAACCTCCTATATAAAATAAAAGACAACCGAATAATTAACCTCCTTTAATATCTTGGTCAAAGTTATCAAAATAGTGAAATACTCACTTAAGCAATTCCTCCATTTCCTCTCGTTCTTCACGCCTCTTGCTCTTCTCTTTTCCTTTTCTGCAACAATGACATGATCTCATCTTGATCAACAACAAGAAGAAAATACTCCCAATCACAACAATACACAGATTCAAAATTACCCATCCCAACCCCAAAAACTCTGCTCTCGTCTCCTTTTTCACCCTCCATACCCAATACATCAGTTTTAAAACTCTAATCCAAGAAAGGTATTAGGAGACTTGACTCAAAGAGATGAAACGGAACGTTCTAAACAAAACGCAACACAGCAAACAAAAGAAGGAATTAAGCAACACGGTACGAATTAATTAATTTATTATAGAAGAATGTTAGTTATACTGTCAGTCCTAGTTGGCACTAGTTGTTAGCAAACAGTCCTAGTATGATTAGGTTCTTGAAGGGATTAAATGAACAATATCTACATGTGAAGTCACAGATACTGTTGTCGGATCCTTTACCCCCTATAAATTGAGCTTTCTCTCTAGTTATACAATAAGATAGACAAATGATGTACTGTGTGAATGTTGATCCAAAGTCTTGCTCAATAAGTCTTCTAATAGCAACCTCAGATCTAATAGGAATTATAATTCTGCTTCTGAAAATAAGAACTCAACTCTTGGCAATAGAACTGTAGTTAATGAAAATCAAGCTTACAATTTCAAATTGTAGGATTTAGGCCCTACTGGATCTTATATGTAGCGAAACTACATGAATAACAATCTTAAATTTTGTACTTTCTGTGGTAAACCAAGGCACACAATTGACACTTTTTACAAGAAACATGGCTATCCTCCTGGTTTTGCTTTTAGAAACTAAATTAACATGTCTTTTATAAACATGTGTGCCTAAGATTCTTTCCAAACATCAATGGATCAAATTGCAAGTTCATATCACACAAATCTACCATTCACCCCTGACCAGCATTTGGAATTCCTTTCTTTGATCCAAGAACAGTCTGCTACTCCTGATCACGCACCTGAGAATCATGTTGCTGCTGTGCATAATGTTACTTCTGCTACACGGCAAGCATTGCCTCTTGCACAGACTGGTTTGAGCAACAACTCAGGTAATTCTTTAGCTCTACATGTCACTTCAGTTTCTCATACTTGGCTCCTGGATACTAGAGCAACTAACCATATTGCTTTTTCACTCTCTCTATTCACTACTTATAAGAAGATTAAGCCTATGTCTATGAAGCTACCAGATGGCAATTATGTTATTGCAAATTACTCAGGGACCGTCAAGTTCACAAATGATTTTCAATTTAGTGATGTTTATATATACCAAACTTCAAGTTTAATCTTATCTCAATTACAAAACTCATATAACAATTGGCTTGCATTTTTGAAGGCACTTCTTGTGTTATTTAGGATCAGATTACATTAAAGAGGATTGGTTTAGCTGAAGTGCAATCTGGTCTTTATGCTCTCATTTGACCAACTTCAGAACATATGGTGAACTCAATTTATGCATTTACAGCTTTTACATCTTCTACTTTAACACTTCCTTCATTTCCAATGGAAGCTCTACGACATTACAGATTAGGACGTTTGTCCCATTCAAGGTTGATGCAAATAAGTTAGCAAGTGTTTTTTATTAAAGCTGTTTCCCATGAATTGCCTTGTGATTGTTCTCATCTAGCTAAGCAGAAAAGGCTTCCTTTTCCTCAAAGTGAGTCTATTGCTAGTTCTGCTTTTGATTTGGTGCATATGGACAAATGGGGACCACTTTGAATTCCTTCTATACATGGACATAGATATTTGTTAACTATTGTTGATGATCATGCAAGATTTGTTTGGATTTTGTTAATCAGATCAAAAACAGAAGTGAGATCTCTTGTTCATACTTTTGTTACCATGATTAAAACTCAGTTTGGGGTGAAAATTAAGCAAATCAGGACAGATAATGGTGTTCAATTTCACATGAATGAATTTTTCAATAACAAAGGCATATTACATCAGACTTCTTATGTTGAGACACCACAACAGAATGTTGTTGTTGAAAGAAAGCACCAGCACATATTGAATGTGACAAGAGCCTTGCTGTTTCAAGTCATTTGCCTAAGAATTTTTGGTGTTATGCAGCTCCTCATGCATTATTTTTGTTAATAGACTTCCTACACCCTTGCTACAGAACCATTCTTCATATAAACAACTATATCATACTCTTCCACGTTACAAAGAGTTTAGGGTATTTGGTTGTTTGTCATATGATTCTACTCTCTCTTCTCATAGACATAAGCTGGATCCTAGAGCAAGAAGGGCATTATTTATGGGGCATAAATCAGGAACTAAAGGTTTTTTACTTACGGATTTACAATCTAGGGAAGTGTTTCTTTCCAGGAATGTTGTGTTTTATGAAAATCAATTTCCCTTTTCATTACCTCACTCTATTTCATATGAGTTTTCTCAACTGACATATTTTGCTTGCCTTTCTCCTTGTTTCGATGCATTTCCTTTTGACACTACATCTCTAGTTCCTTCTTCCACTACTAATCCATTACCTTCTTCTCATACCCCACCTTTGCAACCACTTTAACCTATTATACCCAACACATTATCTTAATGACCATAAAGAAACAGAAGAGCACCTCAATACCTGCAAGACTACTAGTGCAACCTCACTACCACTTCCTCTATTTCCAAAACTCACATCCCCTTTCTTTCATTCTATCCTACCATAACTTGTCCCCTGCTTACTCCCATTTCATTGCAAACATTAGCATCACTTTTGAACCCAAAAATTACAAGGAGGCCATTAAGCATTCAGTCTGGCAGGATGCCATGAACACTGAGTTGTCTGCTCTTAAACAAACCAAAACATGGACTCTTGTTTCTTTACTCCAAGGCAAGACTCTAATAGGGTGCAAGTGGGTGTATAAGGTGAAGTACAAATCTGATGGCACAATAGAGAGACATAAAGCCAGATTAGTAGCCGAAGGCTACACACAGATTGAAGGATCGGATTATCTAGATACATTTTCACCTGTGGCAAAAATGACAACTATCAAGTTATTGCTTGCTCTAGCTTCTATCAAGAATTGACATTTACATCAATCAGATGTAAATAATGCTTTTTACATGGAGACTTGACTGAAGAAGTGTACATGGTCCCTCCTCCTGGTTCACAAACTCCACCAAATCATGTTTGCAAACTTTAAAAGAGCTTTTATGGTCTAAAACAGGCTAGCAGACAATGGTTTTTCAAGCTTTCCCAAGTTCTCACATAGCTTGGTTATGTCCAATCCCAATCTGACCATTCTCTCTTTTTTCTTGCTACATCTCAGTCATTTATTGCTCTATTGATTTATGTTGTTTATGTGATCTTAGCAGACAATGATATGATTGAGATTACAAGGGTGAAATAATTACTTGATAATTCTTTTAAAATCAAAGATCTTAGCCCTTTAAAATTCTTTCTTGGCCTAGAAATTGCTCGATCTTCTATGGGTATTTTCATCAACCAAAGAAAACATGCCTTAGAATTGTTAGCAGTGTGACATCCTACTGAATTGAGTCGTTGCATTTAGCGAGTCGAGTCGAGTTGGAACGAACCAGAACCCGGTGCGAGCCATAAAAATTAAATAAATGATCTAGGCAGACAATGAATATGATTGAGATTACAAGGGTGAAATATATTACTTGATAATTCTTTTAAAATCAAAAGATTCTTATACCCCTTTAAAAATTCTTTCTCTGGCCTAGAAATTGCTCGATTCTTCTATGGTATTTTCATTTCAAACCAAAGAAAACATGCCTTAGAATTGTTAGCATCTGTACATCCACTGAATTGAGTCGTTGCATTTACGAGTCGAGTCGAGTTGGACACGAACCAGAACCCGGTGGCGAGCCATAAAAATTAAATAAATCAACAAAGACTTGACTAATTGAATGAAACCATACAAGAGTCGATTCAATGAAATAAAAGTTAAGGATTACGGAACCCTAATTGCAAATAAAAGGTTTAAATAAAGTTAGGTATTAAAAAATGGAAAAATATTGAAAATTTAGGTACGTATTTGGTAATTTTTTAACATTACTAGAAGATATATTTGGAGGTTACCCGAAAATTCCACTATTCCATCATTACCTTCTCCATCTTCTCCTTGTCTTCTTCCTTCACTTACCTTCTCCATCTTCTCCTCCATTAATAAATCCTACCATAATATCAACAACCCTTCAAAGCATTAAATTCAACCTCATAAACTCTATCCAAGTAAGTTGAATTTCTTGAATTCAATATTAGTGAGATTTTTGGCATGATTCTAAGATTAGGTTATTATGTAACAGGAGAGTGTGCAGCTCAAAAGTGAGAGAGAAAGGAAGCTAAAGAAGAAGGTTGGAAGCTTTTTGGTTGAAGGTTTGATATTCTCTTTTAGTTAACAAATTTTCTTGCATGAGAAATGTGATAGTGTTTGATGATAGTGATAAGATATGTGTCTATATGTTGAGTAATAGCCGTTTGAGGGAATGTTGATTAAGCATGGAATGCATTGAATAAATGAAGGAATATTGATTTCAATCCTTGTATAAACAGTTTAATTGGAAAAACTGACCAGTTAACACTTCAACCTAAATTTGAATCTGTTTACGATGGAATTTAGGAAGGTGGTATAGAAGAGCGTTATTGTTCCTTTATGTTTTATCTGTCTAATGAGCTTTGAATCACCTAAAATTTGACTTTACTTTAAAAAAAAAAAAAAAATGGGGGGAAAAAAAAAAAAAGATATGCGCCCAAAAATAGTACAAACTGTTGCATGCTGCGAAATCAAAATTCCGGGCGACTGGAAGGTGCTACTTTAGTTCAATATAATGGACTACTTTTACCAACATATTTCAAAGATGTCATAGGAAAGAAATATGACCCCTAATGTGTAGCTAACCATATAATTTTAGAATCACCTAAATTGGCCTTATAAAAATTGGCCTTATAAATTGAGAGATATGACCAAAATGGTATAAACTGTGCAGGCTGGAAACCAACAGCTGGGCAGACTGGAAGTTGCTACTTTAATTCAATATGTGACTACTTTACCAACATATTTCAGACAGGTGGTAGAAGACATATTTGTACCCTAATGTGTTAGCTAACCATAGAATTTATAATCACCTAAATTGGCCTTATAAATGGATAGATATGACTAAAATGGTACAAATTGTGCAGGCTGACAACCAACAGCTGGGCAGACTGGAAATTGTTACTTTAATTCAAAATTTAACTACTTTACCAACATATGTCAGAGATGTCATAGAAGAAATATTTGTACCCTAATGTGTTAGCTAACCATAGAATTTAGAATGACCCTAATGTGTTAGCTAACCATAGAATTTAGAATGACCTAATTGGACTTAAGAAGAAAGAGTTATGCTAGAATTTGTGAAACATGTACAGGCTACCCTGGTAGATTTTAAGGCTACATTAGAAATGCTATCGGAATGCATATGTAGATTCATTCAGCCTAAGATTAGTACTTAAATTAAAATCAAAAATTTCCTTAATCAGAATGTTCTAAATTAAGACACATAAAGATTCGTTAGAGTTGCGTCGCGGGTGCAACAGTTATATTAATTTCACGCAAGTTACTTTACAAGTTATTAATTGTTTGCATTATTACTCATTTGATATTACTTGTTGTTGTCTATGAAATCCTTTTAACGCATGAAACAGGTTAGCGATGTATAAAATGAGATAGCATACAGGTAAACAGTATGGTTTATGCATTTTATGAATAATATAGATAATATGCTCCACTGAGGTTAGGTAGAAACCACGTAGATAAGTAAGGTTTATGTAACGACAAGGGATAGCAGATCTGCTTCCCATAGTTTCGGTACTCAGGCTACTAGGCCATTGAGTGATATTGATTTATGAATACGGGTCATAGCAAACCCAGCCACTACAGTAAAATTCATCCAGTTTCATACAGTCATTCCTTATCACTTCCCGTTTCACTCGTAACCTTATGGAGGCCCATACAGTTACGAAATTGTGTTTATTTATAAATTATACGATGTTTAATAAAAATTGTATAATTCATACAGCATAATTGAACAGCAGGTAGACCATGAAAAGTATAATTGATATGTGTCTTAACATACTTATTTATTTAGATTCTTATTAAGTGAGATATCCACTGAGCTTTATTTGCTCAGCGCAGTTACCTGTTTTAACTCGCAGGTTTTGGGTCTGACCGAGAGAGTCATTCTTAAACTACTGCAGTCATCTTTTGAAGAACCTAGTCTTCAGGGAACTACTCATTTTGATATTTTGCGTTTCTGTGGCATGTACAGGCACATAGTTTAGGCCCATTTCATTTTGAAAATAGTTTAATGTCTTGAGTATTATTAATAAAATGTCTGTATATAAATGATGTATAAAGCAACAAGATGACATTAATATTTAGCATTACCGAGATGATATCAAGCATTTGACAGGACCATAGGTTCAACCAACAGATTGTATACAGGATGATATCAGCATGACAGGACATAGGTTCAACCAGATTGTAGCGTCTCAGCTCGGTTCATTCGGGTTCACGGGTGGACCAAGAAGGGATGTTACAAGCAGACACAGGTTTCTTAGCTTCTAAACCTTGTTCCACTCTTATGGATGTCAATACTAAACTAAGCTCTATTGCTGGCGACCCCCTCACTGACATTTCAGGTTATCGAAGATTAGTTCGAAAGCTCTTGTATCTCACCATGGCTAGACCTAATTTGTCATTTGCAGTAAATCAATTAAGCCAGTTTCTGTCAACCCCTACCACCATTCATCAAAGAGCTTTGCATAGCATTCTAAAATATGTCAAATAGGCTCCTGGCTTGGGTTTATATTTTCCTTCCTCTTCTAAGGTTCATCTGAAAGCCTTTAGTGACCCTGACTGGGCAGGTTGTGTGGATACTAGGAGGTCAGTCACTGTTTACATAAACATATCTTAGTGATTCCATTATTAGCTGGAAGTCAAAGAAGCAAACTGCAATATCTAGATCAACTTCAGAGGTAGAATATCGGGCCCTAGCTGCAACTACTTGTGAAATTCAATGGATCAAGTATTTGCTTCAAGCTCTCCACATCTGTCATCCCCAGCCAGCAAATGTATACTGTACTAACCAATCAGCATTACATATTATTGTCAATCCAACATTCCGTGAGAGGACCAAACATATCGAGTTGGATTGCCACATCGTCAGGGAGAAACTCAAACTTTGTCTCATTCACCTTCTTCCAATACCATCTCATGCTCAATTGGTTGACATCTACATAAAACCACTCCTTATCTCATCTTTTCGTTTCCTAATACTCAAGTTGGGAATGCATGATTCCATTTTCTAGCTTTTGGGGGGCAGGGTTATTACGAGACATGACTTAAAGAGATGAAACGGGGAGTTCTGAACAAAACGCAACACAGCAAACAAAAGAAGGAATTAAGTAATATGATGCGGATTAATTAATTTATTCTAGAAGAATGTTAGTTATGCTATCAGTCCTACTTGACACTAGCTGTTAGCAAACAATCATGAATAAAAGCTTGGAGAAGCTTTGTGACAACCTGTGTATATACAAACAACATCGATAAATGAAAATACTACTACAAAATTTCCATTTGTTTTGCTCGATATTTTCTGTTAAAAGGGACAACGCAAAGTAATCAATTATTAGGTTTCTATCAAGAGATTAAGTGTTTAGCTATAGATGGTATTTGAAGCATTTTCCCGTCATGCCAATCCTTAGTAGTAGTGGCAGTGCCGGAGGATCTCCCTCAAAGTTTGTTTCCAGTAGATTTGTTTCCATTTTGCTTGGTATGAGCGACGGGAGTGTGGTTTAGTGTCGTTCAAAGAATTCAATTTATGAGCGACGGGAGTGTGGTTTAGTGTCGTTCAAGGAATTCAATTTTCGAACTCAGCTGAAAACAACT